TATAATCTGTATCAAATCACGTAATTTTTGTAATAGATTATTGAAGTTTTGTGAATTAAAAAATAATAACATTGTTATTGAAAATAAGATCTAAGTTTGTTAAATGTCAAGACTTATATTTTCACTATTTTACCTTAATCATTACATATAACATTTTTTTTCTACTCCTTCATTTAAATAAATTATTTTTTTTTTTTTGTAGATCTTTATATAAATCGAGTAAAAATAAAATACATAACCGGTTCTGTTTCATTATAAAAAAAGTATTATTTGTCACAACGCTATAATCAATTAAAATAGGCTTAACATGTTAACATTTATAATACATTAAGGAATACGGCATAAGAACTGTAACAATATATCGGTAATAATAAAAAAAAAAAAAAAAATGTTACATACTGAACACAGATAGCTTCCTTAAATTTTAAAGTAGAAATAAATCATTGCTCAGTAAATAATTTATGGGAAAAACTTGGTTCACTAAAAAATGGTCTAGACTTAAATAAAAAGTATGTGTTCATATCTTTTTATCGCTATTTTATTGTTATATGAGATTTTTTTTTAAAGCACCAATTTCCGTAAATTATTTTTCAAAATAAATTCTCCTAGTACACTTTTAATATATAATATAAAAATCTATCCTAATATTTTACTGGCTAAAATGTATTCATTAGAATTTAGTTTTATTAAGAATCTAAAAATAAGTAAGCCAACAATACTAAGTAAAGTAATTTATCTCATTCTTAAAATTAAATTAAATATTATTTACAATAATTTTGCTAATGGTGATGGATTTCAAAAAACATATTTGTCATTTTGAGTTGACGTCTCTTAACAGAAAAAGTCTTAGTTTTAGATAAATAAATAAATTGAATCTTTACGCATGTAAACCTAACTTTGCATATCATATTTTATCGTATCATTTTGTAAAGAAAAATTGTTATCTAAATAAAAAATGTTTTAATTTTCAGTGACTTGCCAGATATATACTGTAAAAACAATTTTATAACGTATTTGTTATTATTCAATTAAATAATTTGTCAAGGTTAAAATTTAATTAAACTATTTGTATAAATACATAATATTCTATTACAATTTTTTTCTCTATAATTCTATTTTTTAACTGAAAAATCAGTGTCATTCAGGATAAATTGGTCATCGATTATCACAAAACAATACTGAAATATTTAATTGAATTTATTGTGTTGTTATAAAAATTAAAATTGGAATTGATTTACTTAAAAACACTTAATTATTTAGTAAGAATTATTATATTAAAACGACTGTCCATATTTGGTATCATAATCTAAAATTTTAGTGATCTGATTAGCTAGAGAGACTAGATTGGCGTCAGACGTAACTTCTAATTGTGTGTGGTCCACGGAACTGAGCTCCTCTTTTATACTAAAAATCGTACAGCACTAGCCTATTGTTGTTACCACAAAAGAAATAAATCACAGTAACGCGTTTCCCGCGTGTTATCTTTTGTATGTTTTTAGTGTAAACATGACCCGAGGGGGTTTTTACATGCATTAAAAGCCAACAGCCTTTTACATCCCAATTTTACTCACAGAGCAATAGGTTCGTTTAGACTCGTTTGTCCTTTAACAATACATACATACTATGCATTGGTATGCGTGTAAGTAAGAATGAGAACAGAATTGGTAGTAAATCAAATTATAATATTCCTTTGGTTTGAAAAAATAATATTATTCGATTATTTGACTTAAAAAAAAAAAAAAAAAACCAAAAAAATAATGCATATAATAAAATTTGTCGTGTACAGCATTTAAGTATGATTTTCTAACTAGTTTATTAAAAATTAACACTATTAAGTTTTAACTTTGTATTTTCATACACTTAAGTAATAACCACTACCGATATTATAATCCATGTAAAATAAAAAAAATTCAAAAACGTAAAAATAGCAAACATAATTTTCTGCACTAATAGCTATAATTTAAATATATTTTTATCATGTTACTAGATATAAAGTATTAGTAAATATATTGAAAATAATTTAGTTCATAATATTTTATGAATTATAATTTTATAAATAATAATCTGAAATTATCAACATTTTTTCTTAATTACACTTGACTTCATAAATATTTTTAAATTTTATTTTATTTAGTTTTAAATATCAAAAAATATTTCTTGATTCGTTTATTTTAAAATCAATTATTCTTAATTTTTACAAAAGTGATACAATTTTAAATGCATTGTGTTAAATTGTTTTAAACTACTCAATCTACTTATTTAAAATTCTAGTTTCCATCACCCGCAACAAAAATATATGCGTAGATTTAATATTAAAAAACCAAATTACCAAATACATAAATATGAGGTCTTGTTTTGGCTGTCAAAATAATGTTGTATACATTGTTTAATATTAATAGTTTAAAAGCAATGATAAATCATCGAATTTAAAAAACGATTGAGCAGAGACCAGTAAAAATGGAGTGACGCTTGATGAGATTTCTTTAACATTTTTTGACGGTTAGTTGTATCTGCAGTTATTCCTTTTTTACGCTCAAGAAAAATACTGAGAAGAATAAAAGTTCTTTAAGAGTACAAAATTTACCCGATTTTCAATCATGACTTGTTCATACCATTTTTATTGCCAAAAAATGTGTCCACAGAATAATAATATATATATATATATACATATATATATGTATATATAATTATGTACAATACTATATTATAATGTATATGTTATAGAATATAAACTGTTTGAAATCGTCTCTCGAAATCTAAAAAAAATAATTTAATAATTGCAAAATACGCATGCACTATTTAAAGCTTATTTATAATTCAAACACTAATATAGTAGGTAATTAGATACATATCTGGTTATTTTTTTTCACTATACAAATCTGTGATACGATAATCTATATAGCATTATAATTTAAAGTCAAATCGCTTAAATCTCTCATAACAATGAATATTTTAAGACATGTTTCATGATAGTCATAAAATAATTATTCGATATTTTTTAATATTTATACATAGTTGGTGTATCCAACAACACATATCTAATATAAATTAGACTACATTAGCACGTTATGACACATATAATTTCCCAACGAAATAACATTCCCACTATAGCTACCCAAGAATTATCATTTTATTTTTTAATCTTATTGAATGGTAGTCGTCAATATTTCTATTAAAAATAAATCGCTACATGTTTTCAGTTACTTTAAATATTTTTAATCGGTGCAAAATTATGCCTTATTGTACTTCCATCGTACCTTTCTGAAACACTTTAACAGTGTCTTCAAAATATATTAATTCAACTCTCTTCTTATTATTTCAATGTTTTAAAATGCTGTAGTGTTGTTTTTACCGAATATCTTATCATAATTACTATGGTTCAAATTATATCTTTACCGCTGAGAACGGTGTATTTTATTTTATTGTTATATAATGCAAATGATACTATGTTGTTTATATTATTTTGTTAATTTTTTTAAGAACCGTATTTCAATAAAATAAATGTGATACTTGTTTCTATCAAATTTAATACATAGGTTATTTTACTTTATTACTTTAATGAAATTGGAAATGTTACTTTGATTAAAAATAAAAATTGCAATCATAAAAATCAAAATCAATTGGCTCAAAATTGTAACAAAGCGTGTGTTAAAAAAAAAAAAAATCTTTCTAGTTGATTAACACAGCTCACAGATATTTAATAATATTATCTACAACAAACATACTATATATTGTTAAAAATACGTATTATGTTTTCATGTTATTATTTTTTATCAATAAATTTAACTCTTAGTAAAAATTCAAATTGTGTATTTGAAAATTAAATTTAAATCGTATTTAAATTAATTAAAAATATTATTTTTTTTAAACTAACCATAAGGTGGTATTTGTATTTTAAGTATTAATATAACGGTGGTGCATACATAGAGTAATATAAATATAAAATATTGACAAAGGACCGTTTTATTTTTTTTGTCCCTTTTTCTGTAGTAGGATTGAAAGGGATAAAGAGGAAAACATAACTACCTGAATTCTTACTATACGTCCTATACTAATAAGAAGTAATAATCTATATAGGTCACATTGGTATTGAAGAGTAGATATTTATACATTTATTCTCAAAAGCTTAAAATAAAAAAAAAGGAGAAAAAATCAAGGTAATAATATTGTTTTGTCAGATGATAACAAATACATTCACCCTAAAATACATTTAAAAAAAAATTTACTTGCTAAGTATATTTTTTAAAAATGCAACATATTTAATATTAAGTCATTAAGCTTCATATGTTTGAGTTAAATATAAAAAATCCGGAAGTTTAATTTAGTAATTAAATTGAATATGATTAGTGACGCTTACTTAACCCATGGGTACTTCTTTATGTCTAACAACATAAATCCATAAACTGACTGTAAACTGCACATTATATGAATTTAACAATGAAAAATATTAACCAAATGTCAATTATGTAGAAAATCAATTTTACACTAACCAAAATTATTTGAAATAACTTGCCACGATTAAAAATTAATCTACTTCCTTCAAATCATAAATTAAAACATTGTAATTAACACAATAGTGATTTAATAAATACATTTTATTTATAAAAACTAAAACCATCTCAATATATTATCTTAAAAATACATTTTAGATAAAAATAAATATATATATATATTTTTTTTTTAATGACTTTTGGGTTTTTTTTCAGTAATCATAATAAATTTAATATCATTCTTAAGTGTTACTGAATATATGTTTAATGTAATTTTGACGGTTTTTTTTTTTTTGCATAGTTAATCACAGTAGATACAATTATATAGTAGTGTCGTAAAGTCGAGTAAAACTTTATCAAACTTTAAACATAGTGTCCACCTATTAATTGAGTAAACTAATGACCTGTGACTTAATGATTATAGGAGTAAATTATAAATAGATTATAAATCATTAACTGTTCACCGTATCGTATATTAATTAGTAATACATTTTTTTTTTGTTATTTTAGAATATGGAAACAATATTTGGTGTACACATTCGGCTTCATATTGCAGCAGGAATTTTGCTATCTAGCTATTTAATTATAGCTCAAACATCATCTCTTCGAAACGGTAATATAATTAAATGTATTTAAATTATTTAATTTCTATAATTATAGTTAAAACAAAAACAAAAAAAAATAATACATTTTTTATAATGGAATTCAGTATTATACTTTTTATGTTTAATATTTTACTATTTTTTTGGTTATTTATTTTGAAGTCGAGTAAAAATAACTTAACCAAATACAGTGGACCCTCGATAACTCGAATCGGTTGGGGGCGAAAAAAAAATTCAAGTTATCGTAAATTCAACTTACAGAGGTTACACATATGATATGTTATAAAGTAGGGGCCAAGACATTCTTTCGAGTTATCGAAAATTCGACTTATAGAAGTTCGAGTTATCGAGGTTCCACTGTATTATAAAATACATTTTCTATGTAGATTACTTAATATTTAATACTTATTTATATTAATTATACTATATTTCTAGAAATATGTGGCTATAAAAAATAAAGTGTAATTTAAGTTAAATTACTAAAATATTTGTCCATGAACTAAAAATAATAAAAAAAAATATAATTAATTTAAATGTAATATTGACATTATATTATTTAACTAAGAATTACATGTTCATTTACATTTTATAAACTTTTATCTTATATTATAATATTATTTAACAACGATTTGTATTGGTCTTATATTATTATTTATTAAATTATTCAAATTTTAACCTATTATAATCTATTATAATATATACTCTAATTTTATAAATAACTAAGATAATTGTATTAAATTAACAAGAATTTTTATCCAACAAATAACTTCAAATCAACATTTAACAAAAAAAAAAAAAAACAAAACAAAACTAAAAAAATTAAAATTTTGTATACTAATAAATATCTCAAAAAGTTATCAATACATTTTTAAAATTTTATCCTGAATAAAAATTATGATATAAATATTTAGTGTAAATTGCATGTACTAACGGTTATTAAGTTTTGAGTTATATCAAAAATACAAATATCAACAATAAAGTTATTAATTTGAACTTTTATAGTTTACAAAACTAATAAATATTTTATTTTTATGAATATAGGTAATTAATTATTAACACAATATATAACAAAAGAAAAATATTTTTTTTCTACTAAATATAATATTACAGTGGAACCTCGATAACTCGAACTTCTATAAGTCGGATTTTAGATAACTCGAAAGAATGTCTTGGCCCCTACTTTATAATATATCATATGTGTAACCTCTGTAAGTCGAATTTTCGATAACTCGAATTTTTTTTTCGCCCCCAACCGATTCGAGTTATCGAGGTACCACTGTATTAGCTGCATACAAATTACATGCCAAAAAAAAAAAAATAAAAAAAATAGTCTGAATTACATGTTACCTTGTAAAGGAGTTTGTTTGATTTACATGCTGTATACCCACAAGCTTATTTATAATGTACTTATATGTACAACTTAATAACAAAATAATGTATGTAGACAATTTTGCATGTTGCCAACAACAAAATAAATTAAATGATACGTTTTAATAATATTTAATAATGACATTGAATATGACAATATCGACAATATTATTATTATTATTATTATACATATAATATATTGCAGTGTATTGAAATTATAATAATAAAATATCCAACATGTCAAAAAAAAAAAAAAAATCCATTAAGTTTTATAATTTTAATATTTATTTGAAATACAATGTAAAAAATGTAAAATTCATTCACTTAATAAGCTACTGTAATCTTATTTAATACTTCATATTTACAGTGTCACCTTCTCAATTATTTATATATTTTATTGTAATGTAACCTAAGACCGTCATTAAATTTCTTCAGTAGAAAACTAAGTTTAATTATTTCAATTAATAAAATTATATAGGGCATCCCTCTAAGATATGGCATGCAATTTGGACATTCAAATTAATGTTTGTTTTTTTTTGGCATGTAATACGGATGCACCAATATCATTTTAGAAATATAACACAATGATTTTTTTGATAAATACAAATATTTTCAACAAAATATATATTATTTTTTGGTTAATAAGGTAATAAAATGGAGATATAAATATAAAAAATTAATCAGAAAAGTTTTATTTTTTATTTTTGGCACGCTGCTAACTTAAAACTAAAACTGATAAGGCCTATAATGAAATAAGAAATTTGTTTTAAAGTTTCACTGCAATACTTGAAGTAAATTATTTTGTAATCAGCGCAATCGTATTATAGGAAAAACACAAAACTTTGATTCTAACAGTTTACAACAGTTATTATTGAGTACTCAATTATTAATGGATATTGATTTTCATCGTTAATTATAATATATACACACATATATATATAATGTATCAGCTATGTTCTATATAATTTGTTTTTGTTTTTAATTATTGGTATAGTTATTGTTATTATCGGTGACATGACATTTAATAATAATATTATACTTATAGATTATAACATTATTATTTACGAGACTGGTGATAAATTAAAATCATACCAAAATAATGTATTTAATTTCGAATAATGACTTAAAATGTGTCATTATGTCATTATAAAAATAGAGCGTAACAATTAATGAACATTTTTTTTAACAATATTTTTTTATTTTTATTTTTTTTTATTTTTTTAGTAATAAAATCTAAAATAACTATACTATAATGTTAATAAATAATTAATAAATTTAATCTGAATCTGTTTCTTAAAATTAGAGAAAAAAAATATAAATATACATATATTTATAAACTATCTAATAGGCACTTTGATTTTACGTATGACCAATCCTACACAGTTACTGGTATTGGACTAATATTTGAAATATACGTTTAAGCATATTTAGATTTTAAAAAAAGGTTCATAACCTATAGGTATTTTTTTTTATTATAAACTAAATAAGTTAAATTTACATTAATATAAATTGAATTTGTGTACCGTATCAAAAGCTTAAGAAAAATGTTGTATTTTATATTTGCATAAATATAACTTTAATCAATTTAATTTTTTTTTTAATATTATTATTAAATGTATAGAACTAACGAAGAGACGATTATTGATATATAAATTTAATACTAATAAATCACGAGTCTTTGACATCGATACAATTCCGATATCATGCCATTATATTCATAAAATTAACAATACACAACGACGATATAACGATTAACGGGTATACACTATACTACGGGATGACTAACGAACAAAAATGACGTGCAGAGGTATTATGAACGACTAGGTACCGAATCTAAACGATTTTTCATAGATCAAAATTCAACCTTCGTCAATTCGATGTCAACAAATAGAACAATACAATTTTGGTTAGATATATTTATTTTAATTATACAATTATATTTCATAAATTTTAAATTATCCAATTATTAATGAATTACACTTTTTATCTTGATAATAATATTATGGAACAATATTTAAATTTGTATTTATATGTTATAGATTAATATAAAAAATCAATAACAATAATAATAAAATCATCTTTACAATATTATATAGAAATCTTTGTTAGGCATTCAATTATCACATAGTTCACATGTACACTAAATAGTATTAAATTTTAAATCAATAATTTGTATTTTTCCATTACGCTTATAGGAACAGTCGATAAAATCAAAAAATACTATTACTATTTCAAGTATTATTTATTTTAGATCCAATGATAAATGAATATATTTTTTTTAATTCTTCCTTCTGAGAAAATGCAGATCAGAAAATAATTTTAAACACAATTTAAAAAAATAATAAGATTTTAAAATCAATATATTTTTATTTCTTAGCTATCCTATTTATAATTGTAAATGTAATGCATAAATTATTTGATGTGGATTGACGTGTAAGACCTATGCTTGCAATATTAACAATCTTTAGATCATTTCAATTTAGTTATTATAAAATTCAAATATTAATATATAATAAAAAACTACGGTCTAATAACCAAATAACACATTTAATGTAAAAAACTAAAAAATACCATCGAATTTTCATAAAATATTTTATTTTAAATTAATTGTTTAGAAGCTTTTAGTCAAGAAATATTGCAAAAAAATGCTAATGCTATTATTGTGATAGTTAAAGTGCATTGATTGCTGTAAAATGTTAGTATTCTGTTTTCATTAGTTTTCACAATTTTTCTAAAATGTTCAAAACTAACATTTAAGTATATAATTTTCGGAAAGGCTATTTTTATGAGCTAAAAAAAGAGAGTGTTTTTAAAAAAGTCTATTTTTTTCAGAACTCGAAATATAAAGTCATACTTTGTTTGAAAAAAATATGTCCTTTTTTAAAATATATGATTCCAGATACATTTTTTTTTTGTATTTAAGAAGTCAAAACTTTAGTAAAATTTACAAACATAAAATAAACGTTATTAAAAAATATTCACGGGTGGTCGAATATTTGATTTTTACGGCATAAATAACAAAAAACAATTTTTCAGGTACTAAAAAACAGACTTTAAAAAGTTAGAAGTTTTACTATAAATTACGATTTCAACCACCCGCTTTGCAATGAAGTATTATTAATTTATTTCCACGGGTTTTAAAATTATAAAATAGATAATGTATGAATACAAATTTAAGTTTCTTGTCTCATTTTGTTTGCCAATTTATGTTTGTTTTATTTCTTTTATTATTGTTAATTAATATTTGAATGTTGCAACTACTAGTCTATTGATAGAGTCTTAAAATAATAAAAATAGTAAATTTTCAATAAAAACATATTATTTATTTATAATAACAAGTTATTCTTTAATTGGTATACGTACTTTCTCTAATCAATTTCATGAATAATATATAATATTATGTTTTTAAATAAAGTTGGGTACTAAAATGTTTTTATTCCTTTAAAACTCTGAGTGAATCAAGTGATAATTAGTGTGTTTTTTTATTCTGTATTTCAACCTTTTTTTAAGCAGAAAAAATTATTTTAACTACGAAAATTATGATAGTTCTAATAAGAAAAATTGATGTTTTTGAAACCTTATGTATAAAGTATAATTTCTCATCTCAAATAATTTTTCTAAAAATTAAGGAAAACTAAAAACT